CAACGTCATGATTTTCCTAAAATTTTTATTTATTATTACTTTCATCTTATTTCAGTGTTTTTCCTTCTTTAATGGGAGGCTATGACTAAATACGTCGACATGCATCTCCACGGGAATCGCCTCTTCCTCCGCGGCACAGTTTGACAGTAACCAGACGCCTGGCGCGAATGCATTTGTTCGGCCGCCGCTAAGCGAGCGGCGCTGCCAAATAATTGATGAGCCCGGAGCAACAGGCTCTGCTGTCTGTTTCCTTTGGCAACAGGTCGAGTTCTGCTGCTGCTGCTGCTGCTGCAGGAAGAAAAAAAAAAAAGTCTGAAACTGGCCTCCATGTTGCAGCTACACACACACATGAGGGTTTTTTTTTTTTTACTGTTTCGGAGCACAAATAGACCGTAACATGTCTGCAGGGGGCTGATGGGGCTGTTAGTCAATGCCAGGGACTCACTGATCAGCTGCCAGCGGCTGAGATTTCTGGCTCACTCTGCAGCCTTGTTTCAGAACAAAACCTCCCATTGATTCCAGCAACGAAGGCGTTCTGGTTCTGAAGCCAGTAAAGAGAACGCTGCAGCACTTTTATTATCCCAGCGTTTGGCTGACACACCTCCTGCCCGCTACATGTTTCTGATTTGTGCTCTGATTGCCGTCTCTGCTGCTCCGCGTGGGCAGAATTTACAGTTTGGGTCAATTGCAGCTGAAGTGGACTTTCCTGAAACGACGAGATACTCAAATTTTATGAAGCAGCAGCAGCAGCGGCGCAGGAATTGACTTTAACTCTGAGCACCAAAACACACACTGAAAGCTGTTTTATATCTATATTTAAAAAAAAAGAAAGAGCCAGAAACTACTAAAACGGTCCAAGTTAAGCTTTCCGACGGTACTTAAACGCATCATATGGTTCCACCAGGAGAAAAGGAACAAAAATAGGCTTATAGAATTTCAGCAAAAATTATTTTAAAAAAAAGAATAAATAAATAAATATAAAAGAAATTCTGCACTCCAAAGAGCAACTGAGAAGAAATCTACAGCCACGTTAAAAAAAAAAAAAAATTATATTATAAGTGACGACAAGCGAGAGGAAAAAATAGATAATATATAATAAATAGATAAATAATATATATAAAATAAAAAAATATTTCATAGATAAATAATATATATAAAATAAAAACAATATAAAATAAATAATGTATATAATAAAATATACAGTAAATGGATAAATAATATTTATAAAATAAAAAAATATTTAATATATAATAAAAATTATATATATATTAAATATATATATATAATTAAGAAAATGCATAATATATAATAAATATATAATTGATAAAAAAATATGATAAAATAGAAAATATTTGATAATAAAAATAAATAAATTCAGAAGGTTAAAAATCTGATATTAGCCAATAAAAACAAAGGAACACAAGCAGCAGCTAGAAGCAGGATGTAAAAGCTGCTGTTTCCCACATTTAATCAATTATTCTGGTGCTACAGAGATAGACAGAGACTGGGCTGCAACTACCGATTAATTTAATCTGCTTTATGTTTTCTTGATTAGTTGTTTGTTCTATAAAAATGTCCAAAAGTGACGATATTCAGTTTACTGTCACTGAGGAGGAAAGAAAATATTCAGCTTTAAGAAACTGGAATCAGACAATTTAAACTCTAAAATACCTCCAGATTGTTGCAGCACTAACAGGGATGACATAAAGATGCTTTTTTAATCTTAATTTCTTTGAAATTTAAGGTGTTCTGTCTTTTTTTGGCAGAAATGAACAGAAAAGTTGATAAGTAATGACTGTGGCTGCACTGATCCTCGTCATAAATCATAAATTGTGTAAAATTGTGCCACAAAAACAAACATGATGGCTTTCAAAGGGCTATTTTTACACAAAAAAGCAACAACATGCAGTTTAAAATGACGTCAAACAGAGAAAGGCGGACGACGTTTGCTATTTTTGCTCGATATGCGGCTTTAAAAGACCCGTATGTGCTGCTGTTGCCGTATCCTGCAGGACGATGTGAGCCTTTTAGCATCCAGCGCTGAACAGGTGTACGTTAATACGCCGGCTGTGTGCGGCTCATCTCCCTGACAGCGTTTACAGAGAAATTCTCGCCTCGTCTCGGTCCACTTCACACCTCCTGTTGCCGAGGAGCACCGATCCAAATATACGGTGAGCCGCGAGGGCCAGATTTCACACCGATATAGCCTCTCAGCTGGCGGCGGCGGCGACCGCGCCCCCGCTGACCATCCACCGTAAATAGGATCGAATCGCTGCCGTTTTCACAAAAGGCAGCAGAACAACAGCGGGGGGAAGTTCGATCCTCAAGCTAGAAAACAATGAGAACACTTGACTTTTTTTCATAAATAATCCAGCGAGCCCCGGCGGACACATTCGTCTTTTCAAAGAGGCTCGAGAACATCATTCCTCCTCCAGTTTGCTCTTACAAAACAAACCATCCCAAAGCTATTCTTCTTCTTTTTTGTTGTCAAACACTTGTATGTAATTGTTCTAAAGATTTACAGCCTGGAATGCTTCTGAACCGAGGCGAGCTCCGTCTGAGACATCCAGATGTTGCTTTAGAAGCTTGTATTCCACTTCCTCCTCCGCTGTCCTGCCAAAAAACACTGTACTTCTTGAATCGTCTTCGGTGCCGACCCGCTGTCCTTCCTAACTCTTGGCTGCCGGTGTTGAAAGTTGTCTTTTTTCACTACTGTTCAAAACACTGGAAATGCGAGAATTTGACAAAAAACACGATCTGGTTCCAGTATCAGCCACAAAAAGTGAAACTGAGGTGTGGCTGGTGTCCCTCAGAAGGATGTTTGTCTGCTTTGGGGCACTAAACGGGAACAAAACTGATCTTTAAAGGTTCAGACTAAACTGTTTTCATTAACCCAAAGTGTGGCTGATTGGTTGAACACACTGTCGTAGACTTTCAACCAGCAGAAGTGGTGAACACCCACGAAAAATGTGCTTTTAAAGACACAAATTCACCACAAGACTTTCTATTTATTGAACTCCAGCGGCCTAAATTAGCACGCTAGCGCTCATTTTATCACCGTTAAAGATTGTTATCATCAGACGAGGAATGAGTTCAGGCAGCTGCTGTGGTCAGTTTAGTGTCTAGATTTAGGTTTAAACGACATCCACCATCTGAACGCTGCTGTAAAACAGTTTACTTCGCTAATAGTCGGCCACCTTGATCATCAATAATCGATTATTCCTTGAAATGATTCTGATAAAACCGCTTTTAACCCCTGACGCTTAAGTGAAAAACAATTAAAGACAAATTTAATGGTGAAAACAGCTTCATTTCCAAGCAAATCCAAAGCACTGAACGAAGCAAACGACTGTAGTTAACGTAGCTTCAACAGGTGTCCGCGAATGTTGTCGTAGCAACTCCATCAGTCTGCCGGCGTCTGCTGCCGACGTTAAATTAATTTATGCTCATTACTATCTTTCATCACTTTAGTTTGACTGAATCACTCCCAGCTTGCGCTAGCATGTGAAACTCCTAGCTTAGCATTATTACCATTAGCCATAGGTAGCTAGCTAAACCGGCCTTTTTACAAGACGACAGTTAGTGGTTACACAGCAGGGAGGTGCGCTTGTTTTACGCACCGTTCGCAAACACACCTGTAACTCCGTCTCACTAAACAGCAAGAGGCTCCACCTGGTGGCACAAACAGGTACTACAGCACATCGACAACACGCTCATGCTATGCACGTCAATCATTTTCCGCCTGATGAGATCAAATCCACTCACTCACATTAAACAGTCAGAGCACAAACATTGCCGCCTCGTGTCTCCGTAGCGACTGCGTACGTTATTTTTGTTAGTCACGACATCACCACGATACTTTTTGAAGTGAATGTTGTTGTTAGTTATAAAAATCAATACTTTCTGTGAGTCTGAAGCAGTGATAGAGCCGAATATTGTGCAAAAACGTGACATTACAGTCTGAAAAAGAGCCATGAAGAGCGTCTCACTAAACAGCAAGAGGGTCCACCTGGTGGCACAAACAGGTACTGCAGCACATCGACAACACACGTTCTGACATCCCTCGTTTTCCGCCTGATGAGGTCAAATCAACTCACTCACGTTTAACAGTCAGAGCATAAACATGGCCGCCTCGTGTCTCCGTAGTGACTGCGTACGTTATTACGAGTCTGAAGCCGAATATTGTGCCAAAACGTGAAACAAAAGTCTTAAAAACAGCCATGAAGAGCGAGTTTGTCAAACACTCACCGTTGTAGAAGCTCTTGACCTTCAGGTAGCCGACGCTGAGGCGGAGGACGGACAGCTTGTCCAGCCGAGCCCGGACCTCCTCGGTGAAGGGCAGCAGGCTGGTGAGCTTGTCCAGTTCGCCGTTGAGGCGGTCGCGGTGGCGTTTGGACGGGTTGGTCTTGACGCCATCAGGAGGCTGAGGTTTGGGTCTGTGGACACAGAGCGACAACAACATTAAAACACATCACAACGGGCTGACGACTGGGTTTTTTCCCAAATCTCAAGTTTTGAAAAGCTCAGATTCCCTCTGAGGTTGAAAAGTTTGGATCACAAATTCGCTGGAGGCTGATTGGGTTCTGGATTATACCAACATGAGCTGGGATTAATGGAGACGACACTCAGATAACAACCAGGAGATGCTGACGGCTGCAGCAGGGATGTACGTAAAACATCACTACCGTAATGTCTGGACTATAAGCTGCTACTTTTTTCACATGCTGTGACCACTGCGGCTTAATTTATGGATTTTAATGATGTTTATGAGTTTGCCTCGAGATCAAAGTGACGTTGAGAGCGACCGAGAGGCTGAGGAAGTGTGTGACGAAGTGATTTTGACACTGAAGAAGACGACTTTAGTGGTTTTCAGGAGGAAGATAAAGATAGTGATCGATGACTTTTCCTGGTAGGCTGCTGTAGGTTTTATTTTCTTAACCAGTTGTGTTACAGGCACTGTTCGGAAAAAGGCATTATTTGTATATGTTACCGCTACGTATTTAATTAAAAGTTAATAAAATAACTATCTCACGTTACAACGTGGACATTCAGGTGCCTCAGTAGTCCGGATATTACGGTAAATGTGTGTATTTCTGTGGCGTTTTCCCTTCTTCACATTGTTCAGTGGACAAAACATGAGATTTTTGTTGTAATATCCGTCACCACTTCTAGAAAATACAACGCTACGACCCATTTTTGTACTTCTATGTTGTGTTTTGTGCTTTTATAATCATCTGGCTGCTCTCTCTTTACCTCAAACCAGTTTAAAAAAGCTAATTCTGTGCCGCTCTCCCGCATGACGGCCTCCTAGTTTGTCACCTGAAGTTGTAATCACTTATGCAGACTCTTTATATAATCACATGTGTGTTTTTTTTTCCCCTTTAGAGCTGCTGAGCGTCAGGACGACGACCAAGCCTGGACCACCTCGACTCTCCAGAGCCTGCTCCATCCCCGGTCGCCCCGGCAACCAGGTGAGAAAAACGACGTCACCTGCTCCGGGGCTTGTTTACCGCCCGCCGGCTCGCCTCGGCGCCAAAAAACAATCGCGGGTGATTTGCCGCTGGATGGATGAATCCACAGACGGCTGCGGGCTATAAATCCAGCCAGCGAGGGGGGAAATGGAGAGCTTCCTTCCTAAATGACATTTCCACCGTTTGAAATGTCACGTCTGTTTACACAAAACACTCGACTGAAAGGTGCTGACTGCAGGGAGACGGATTAAAGCTCCGTTACAGCTCCGTCCAGGGAGCACAGCGGCAGGGAAACGGGCTGAAAAACCCGAGAGGACGTTTAATTCTCTTTTACTTATTCATCCAGGTGTAAGGTAATTCTTCTGTTAAAGGCAGTCCTGTGCTCCACGGCTTCATCACAGTTTCCATCCTGACTAAGTTCAGCCCTCAGAGCGACTTGTAGGTTTCATTTTTTATTAAATCTACACAAAACAGTTCATGAAAACGATTGTTCGTCAAGTTAACGTGAGATTTTTCACATTATACGCGACATAAAGGCTGAAATTCAGATGAAAAAGTCGGATTTTTGAGCGTCTTCACTTAATTTTTACAACAATTTCTCCTCGACTGTCTCTGAGTTGTGAAAAATAATTAAATAAAAAACAACGTCCACATCAAAAACCTCTAATCACAGAGAATAATTCACTCTTTTACAGCGTTTGACAGTAAAATTACACAACTTTTACTGTAATTAAATCAGAAAAAAATATTATTTTAAATATATTTGCAACTAAAAACTGTGTATTCAGGATTAAATTATTGGAAAGAATTTTTTTAGCTGCTTTTTTACAGATTTTACCCGTTTTGATGAATAAAATCACACAAAAAAAGTATTTATTTATTCATGAACATTATTTAAATAACTCACCTGTTGTTGCTTTTCAAAAGGGAATCATGATCAATTTATTTAGGCTTTTTTATTTATTTAGAAGAATTTACAAAAAAGACTGAACCTAAACTACAGATTTCTAGTAAAAACACAAAAATTTTATTTTATTGACATTTTGACCTTAAAAAGAAAAAACAGGCCAAAACTGTGACATTTAAAATGTAAAAAAAATATATTTTTTTGAAATATTAACTTGTTTGACAATGCGTGACTAAATTACACTTTTATTTACTGTTAAAGCAGCTAAAATCACATTACATTACAGATATTTGCAATTATTTTAACAGTCTTTGCAGTAACTGAATATTTTCTGGCACTTTTTTCACATTTTTTTCTCTACGATTTTATTATTTACAGTGTGGAGGATTTGATTTGTAGGCCGGGGAATCTCTTAAGCACCCAAACGTTTTATTAAAATGCTATTTTCTGCTGCGTTTTTCCTTCTTCGGTTTGAATATTGCACTTGTTTTTTATTAAACTACTCCTCATGTTGGCTGTTCTACTTTTTGTGGCTTGTTCTAGTTCCTGATTAATTTTCTTGCACTTTCATTCGCCGGCATCCTGCAGCTTTCAGGCGGCCGGCGTAAACCCGTCTACAGATCCCCATCTCGACAGCAGCAGGTCAAACAAATGGCTTGATAAAGACAACAGGCTCTGTTGTGTTAACTGGTGTGAGGAGGTAAATAAACTCGGGCTGTTTGGCTGCAGGTCCACAGAGAAACAGGTCTGTGTCTGTAACTGAACTCCGATGACCGGCGGTGAACCCGGAGGCTTCTCGTCCGTAACTCAAACCAGACCTTGGCTGCACAGAGGGGCTTTTCTGCTTCCCAGGGAAGGTGTGAGGCTGTGGGAGCTCCTCGGACGGGCCGGGGGACGTTTCTGGAGCTCTGCTGTGATTTCTGCATTCAGACACCGGGCCACAGTCTGATGCTCAGTTTTGCATTTCGGTCGTTTTCACCTGCACGATTAAAGATGACGCTCAACTCCAGCCGAGAGTCGAGCGTCTGCAGCACACGGTTTAAAAACAGCTCGCCTTTACTTCTTCTTTCCACTCGAAGAAAACAAGTTTCCAGTTCGCTGCGTCTCCCAAAATAAACCGACGTACCCTGCGGTCGCTCGGCTCCGCCTCCCGTCAATCACGGCCCAGACAAACCACCAGCTATTGTATGCAAATGTAAAGCATAAATAAAGTTTGGCAAACATCGGGCTGACGGGACGCGCAGGAAAATCTTTCAAGTGGAAAATTACGTCTGCGTGCCCTTGAGCAAGCAGACGGCGATTCAGTTGCGCAGGTTTTCTTCTGAAGTTTATTCTCACGTTCAAGTCTAAACACACCGATGAGCTGCTTTCCTGCAGCTTTCAGCCGCTCTAGAGTCAGCGTTACGGACGGAATCACAAGTTTGCATGTAAACAGGTGCATATTCGTGGCTAAGCTAACTCCGCTAATCACCAAATTCGGCTGATAAAAGTTTTAAAATGAGATCTGAGCAATGAAATGCAGCATGTTTATCACATAAGTTGACGTGCACGTTTAAAATCTTTATATTTACTGCATTATGTATATTTACTACAGGACAGACATGATGTCCTCCACAATTAGGTGGGAAAAAAACACAAAGTGAGTCTGAAAATATCGATCTAAGCTATCAGTAGAAATGGAAAAATGTGCATCTCTCACGTTTGGTATTAAACAAAAAAAGAAAATCTTTAGTTTTGTCCGAGCAGAAGTGGAAACCCAACAGAAAGGACGTTTAAAGCAACAGAAATCCATCAGACTGTCGATGTGGAGTCGGGATAGTTGATGAACTTTCAGGATTATTTTGGGGATTTTCTGTTTAAAATCATCTGTTCTTCTGCTCGACCGTCTCTGATTTGCTTGAATTTTTTTTATCTTAAAATACGGACATTTAAAATGGTATCTGTGGAATTTTAGATTCACACATAGAGCACTTGCTGAGATTTTTTTGTTTAAAAAATTGCTCTTCGACCCACTTTTAGTGAGTTTTTGTCAAACCAATCAATGATAAGAGTGCAACTTAATTTTTTTTTTTAAACCAAATATTTATTTTTAAAAGGTTTTCTACACGTTGCAGCTACACATAGTTCAGAAAATACCACTACTTTATCAGTTTTGTGCTAATGTGAGCACAAACGTGGGACTTTAAATGACTTTTCATCGTATTCTTTGTATTTAAACTCACCAATAATTAGAGATTATTTCATCTGTTTGTCCAATATTGCAGATTCTGAATCAACTGCATGCAAGTCTTTTATTTTTTTATAGTTTAATCTAATCCTAAATTGCATAATCCATGTTTTTTTTCTATAATAACAGAGACGGTCGCACAGTAATTGCTCTAAAAATTGAATTAATTAAGCTGAAATGATCCAATTATGCTTATTGTTGAAGCAGAGAGTTGTCTGTGCACTAAACGCCGGCTGACTCTGGAGATCCAAGCAGCAGATAAACTTATTATCTGGCGGTAAATTGAGCTAAAACGCGGGTTAACGTCCCCGCTGCTCGCTGAGCTCCGTCGGCTCGTTGCTCAACAGCGCTCCAGCATCTGGTCGTCGTGGGAACGCAACCGGTGACCTCGCAGCCGCAGGTCGGCCTCACGCGGAGCAGCTGCACGTCTGCTGCTCCTCCAGCTAAATCAGCTTCAGATGTTCCTGCTGATGACTCCTCCGGGGCTCCGGGGTCAGGCGAGGCCACCGGTGGGGCGGCCCAGTGCGAGAGCAGCACCTGTACGCCTGCATACCTTCCAGGCACCGCGGCGCTCGACCCTTTAACCTCCTGACTCCTGGTCCGGAGCTGCAGGAACACCTTCCAACAAACCGCCGCCACAGACGCACCAAAACAGGAACCTAAATCGTAAATTAGGCCACATGCAAAAGTTAAATTTTACTGCTGAATAAAACCGCCTCGAAGACGGCTTCAGTTTGAGCAACTCTCGAGGAAACGAGTTTGCAAGGAGCAAAACGCAGATACAAATGACATAAAGAGTCAGAAACAAACCAAAAATATGTGAAAGAGCGA